CACTGCCATTTTTTGCTCCACAGACCGCATCGGAAAGTTCAACGAAGCAAGCGGGCGGCAGCCTCGCCTTGGCCGCCCGCCGGACCTCTACACATACCCAGACTGTAACTTCATCTTCCTCTCTCTTACCTCTCGGCTCTCTCAGACCATGACAGCCATCTCTCTCTCTCTAGAGACCATACCATGACAGCCATCACATCTCTCTCTCTAGAGACCAAAGAAAACACACACTCTTCAAACTACCTACTCTTCATTGGACGTCCATCTCGGCCAATCCTACTCTGTTCTAGTCACGGCTGATCAGCCCGCTCAGGACTGCTACATTGTTGTGTCTACCCGCTTTACCACCCCAGTCGTCACCACAACTGCTGTTCTTCGCTACAGCAACTCTGCTGGCCCCGTCTCTGGCCCGCCACCAGGTGGACCCACCATCCAAGTCGACTGGTCCCTAAACCAGGCCCGTTCTATCAGGACTAATCTTACAGCAAGTGGACCAAGGCCAAACCCACAAGGGTCATACCACTATGGACTCATAAACACCACCAAAACAATCAGGTTGGCCAACTCCGCAGGTCTCGTCAATGGCAAGCAAAGATATGCAGTAAACAGTGTATCCTTTCTGCAACCAGACACCCCCCTAAAGCTAGCAGACTACTTCCAGATTGGAGGAGTTTTTCGTGTTGGAAGCATATCTGATTACCCTAATGGTGGAGGGATATACCTTGACACGTCAGTTTTGGGAACCGACTACAGAGCCTTTATTGAGATTGTGTTTGAAAACTACGAGGACATCGTTCAAAGCTGGCACCTTGATGGTTACTCTTTCTTTGTTGTTGGGTAAGCAAAAATCCACACATAATCTTTAGGAGGTTCATGGTTGCTAATATATGTATGAGAGTGAGTTGTACGTTAATTATCTTGTGTTGTTCCCAAAATAATAATGTATGTTAAATCTCAAAATGCAGAATGGATGGAGGGTTGTGGTCCACGGCTAGTAGGAATCAATATAACCTCCGGGATGCAATTGCACGCTGCACCGTGCAGGTAAGATATGAAAATATGCCCAATCCTTTAATTTTTGTTGCTTAAACAAAAGTGCGTTTGTAGAGTTTTTTTTTAAAAAAAGTTGGCTTACATCTTATGATCCAAAAATTGTGTAAATAAGTTAGAAAAAAGATGTTTATGGGAAAGTTGGAGAATATATGTCAATCGTAAATGAGCTTTTTAACAAAGCGAACACAATTGATTCATTTTACAGTCCTACTACCTTAAGATCATGTCACATGTTTGGTAAATATTGCAGGTATATCCAAAATCATGGACTGCCATTTATGTAGCACTTGATAATGTGGGAATGTGGAATCTGAGATCAGAGTTTTGGGCAAGACAGTACCTCGGACAGCAACTCTACGTACGTGTCTACACAGCATCGACTTCACTCAGAGACGAATTCCCCATTCCAAAGAACGCTCTTCTCTGCGGCAGAAAGTTCCACGACACTTTTAGCTAGGGAAATTAAATTAAAGCTTGTTTATCTACCAAATGTGGTGGATTAAGATCTCAGTTTATTATTATTAATTTTTTCTTTATGTGCTTAATTTAATGTTATTTTTAGTTACTACATCAGCACTAGTGCAATTATATGAGGAACATGTATCAATAGTGCTGTAGTAGAGTGAGCAATGACCTTAAGTTGAGGTCATATTCTTTTCGGTTTTCATCAATTCAACAGTATTGTATTACCCTTGTTATAATGTATTGTAAGGTTTCCTATTATTACTTAATGAAGTGGTTCTTCTAGTTGGCTCAGGTTTTCTTGTAAAGAATATAGGGCAAATTTTACTTTATCTTGCAAATAACCTCTTATCATTTATAGATAATCACGTAAATCTCGGGATTTGTAGACGCGGCTGTTACCCTTAAAGGCTAAGTTTTGGACGTATTCGGCTCGAACTCCCTACATACGGGTCCGAATTACATTCCGTCAGTTCTCACAAGTCCTATTTGTCATCGGCAACCTGTCCGTGTGACTCACACAGTGGATCGAGGGCTGTTATGAATTTTAGCCCACGAAACGCTGAATTTTCATCTAAGTTTAGGGCATTTTTGGCTCTAACTCCGTACTTACGGGTCCGAATTACATTCTGTCAATTCCCAGAAGTCCTATTTGTCATAGGGAAACTGTCCGTGTGAGTCACACGATAGTTTAATGCATTTTTAGCTCTAACTCCCAAACTACGTATGCTAATTACATTCCGTCTGTTGTCACAGGTTCTATTTGTGACGGGGAAGGTGGCTGTGACATCCGTACGGTCGTTCGGGGGCTGATTCGCATTTTCTATGATTGGTGTCCCATGCAAGGATTCTAAATAAGCCATGAAAACATAGAATTATGCGCACAGATTGCATTGATGTCTCACAAAATGTTCATTATGTGTGCTCACATTTATAATTATAAACATTTCATGAGATACCATTGTAATTTAATACGCATATGATTGTTGATATAAAAAATAGAGAGGGACTCACAATTTTGGAAAATAATTGAGGAGCAATGCCTTGGATCATGGGAGTTTTTCTAGTGGTGCTAGAGGTACTATCAACATAAAGTGGAGTATACAAGCTGTACATGTCTATGTCATTGTAAGCAACAAAGAACTCATTGAGGGCAACACCACAATCAAGTTGATATTTATTATGAACTGAGTTTTGATCCCATCCTTTCATTGTATTTTCTATGGATTATTATGTGATCTATTATGTGTTCCTAACAATTACTGGTTTGTTAACTAACAAAAAAAAATTAAAAAAAAATTGAGACTTAATTTTGTGTTTTAAGTGTTTATTAATTTAGAAAGTGAATGTATACTTAAATAATATAACTATTTTTGTGTTTTAAGTGTTTATTAATTTAGAAAGTGAATGTGTACTTAAATAATATAACTATAATCTGCCTCTGCCCCTCTCCTTTCTTTCTTTCTTTCTTTCTCCTCCTCACTCTCTTCTGCCACAATGAGCTACTATGCTTATGCTTTCCACAGTTAAACAACAATTTTAACTAGGAACACACTAACAACATTTTAATAGTCAATGAAAGTGAAAGCAGTCAACCTTTTAATTCTATTAATGACAGATTAAAGATCCTAGAGCAGAGAAGCTCTTAGCAATCAAGTTTTATCCAAAAGAAAATGAAAAGCTAATTAGCCAAAATGAAAATAGTAAGTACAAGTTGGGACATCACTCACAATAAAACCTTTGAGGTTTATATAGTCATCCTTTGGAGCATTCTTATTATTGTGCAAAATTTGTTCTGCAAGCTGGGGAACATAGTGCCCTAACAAATATAGTAAACATTTAGGCCAAGTTTGGGAAGACTAAATAAGTGTACTTTTTGACTTTTTTTTATATTATGTGTAAAAAAAGTAGAGAGAAGATGTTGATTGATGTGACTCAAAAAAGATAAAAAGATGAAATAAGTGCACTTTTTTGTTGTTAGCCAAACTTGGCCTTAATAAACATAATGCATATACTAACAAAAAAAATTGTTAATTTCACTTGTCTATAGTAAACGCTTCAAAATTTATCATTAATGCTTAAAATTATAAATACAAACTCAAAATTTATAATGCAACAAGCAATATTTACAAGCTGCAATGCATCAGAGTTCACATTGAAGAAAGCAACTAATGTATACAAGCTGCAATGCAACCAAAGATATTAAAGTTCAACATGAATCTCTTTTCCTGTATCACCCATTCATGATATTTAGATGTTTGTGAAGGAAGCAGAGTAATAAATTTTAAAAAATAATCACACCAACTGATCCACATCACAGGTATGTGCAGACGAAAACAATTATCCATATTGGGGCACATCAATGACATAGATTATAATGCTGGGTTTAGAAACCGTAGAAAAACATGATTAAACCAATTACTAATGTAAGTAAAGTGAAAAGCAACTAAATCGAACTTACAGGCCAACAATCTCAAGATCAAGAAAACAAGGACAGACTGACAATGATGCACAAAGTGATGCATTATCCATTCTTTCAATATTGTAAAGGTGTAACCTCCTCAAAAGAGCCCTAACAAGAAGAGAAAGAGATTCAAAATTAATGAATAAATAGAGACAATCTGTCTGTCTGTAGTGTGTGCATGATATGATGAGACTATCACTGGAAATTGGCAGGCAACCCAATAAATAAATAAATAAATATATACACCAAATTCTACTTAGAACCATACCCAGGAGCACCACTGTCCCCACTCAAAAAACTCAAGCAGGACCTTGTGAGAATAGATGACTCATTTATTGCAGAAATACATTAGGAAATACATAGCATAACTAGGAAATACATTATTGCAGAAACTGAAAGTGTCGACTCAGTGTTGTTGGGAGAGTAGCATAGCAAAAGGAAAATGTAATGAATAATCATAGTTGCCATTAGTAAGCAGCCCAAATTCTGTAACTGTGAGCTATGACTGGCCACCCAAATATGAGAGCCCCTACATATGTGGAGAAGGCATGAAAAATGTCTGATTTAACCAATAACATAGATCCCTTCTAAAAATTAAAAAAAAAAAGACCAATAGCATAGATTCTATGATTAAAACACACTAACTGACAAATGAGTCACCATTAACAAAGCAAAATCCAAAGTATTGCACAAATCAGAAACATTGCTGTTTACATGTTAAAGCTTCTCACCAACCTTAATAGCTGTTAGAGAGATTTTAAGCGTAAAAAGACTATAAATTTCAAATAAAACAAGATAAATATGTTCATTTGGTAAACCTGAGCTACAAAGTAAAAACACCAATAACCTAGAAAACTAGATAACTGACAGAGAACAACACAAAGATCATTAAACAACTAGAGATTTAAGAATTAAACCATAAATTCATATTTGGTTTTGCTGGTGAATCACTCATCCCAACTAACTCAATGAAATGTTATTCCTAGAAAATCCTAGTACTTAACAAAATTTGGGGATTGCATGATGTTCAATGTATGGCTTCAATTGAGACCCCAAGCATGATTAGAATTGTCATGGGAAAAATAATATACAATCTAACTATATCACTAATAAACAAACATAATAAAATCCCCTATACTACAGTCAACCCACAAAAGACGGTAGTACAATCTGTTAACAAGTACCTACAATCCAACGGTAAGAACAAGAAATCATAAACATGTTTGTAAACAAGAATGGTTATTAATATATAATTTCTTTTAGAGTTGCCAACGGTAAGAAATTTCTGAAAAGAAGAAAAACTTCCTCAAATACATAATAAATCTCTCAACAAAAAAGAATTTGCAAGATGTATATGTATGTACACATAATCAAGAAAAATATGAAGATGAGATTGTATATGTATATATATGTATATGTATGTACACATATAAAGTTGAAATGGAGAGAGAGAAGAAGAAGATGAAGATAGAGAGAAATAGAATTGGGTTTCCCTGAAATAATATATATATATATATATATATATGAGGGTATAATTATCAATTTACAACTTTTGTTAACAGAAATTAGTGTGTGTTTTAGTCCACTGAAATAATATATATATATATATATATGAGGGTATAATTATCAATTTACAACTTTTGTTAACAGAAGTTAGTGTGCATTTCAATCCAGTAACCACATGAAGGTTATGTGGTGATTTTCGAATATCAAGGGGTAATCCGCACTCGGCTCAAACCACAGGGGGATAAAATGAAGTTTGCCATAATTTTAAAGACTCGTGTAGAATAATCTCTTTTCTAAATTGGGGAAACTTCACTTTACCCCCATGTGGTTTGGGCCGGGTACGGATTACCGCTTGACATTCGGAAATCATTACATAACTCCCATGTAGTTTGCGGACTAAAACGCACTGTTAACTTTTCAGTCTAAGATAGCAGAATGTGAAAGTCACGCGCCTCTATAGAGGGTGAGTCAGTTTTTATGAAGAAAATACCTTTTATACCTCTTCAAATTTACAAAGAATGCCATTATTTTCTATTTTTCAACCATTAGCAGATAGTTATAAAAACATATATACATTCATATACATATATATACACATCATCAGATATTTATTTTTTTGGAAACATATACATTCATATACATATATATCATTATATATATATGTTTTTCTGGAATCAACATATTCTCTCTCTCTTTTTTCTTTTTTTTTAATGTTTCCCAATCAAAAATATATGTGTGTGTGTGTGTATGTATATATACATAGTGAAAAAAACTAAAATCAAATAACATGATTTTGAAATTTTCAATTCATCAAACAAATCATCAAATCATTTGGTGAAGATTGATACACACACATATATATGTAGATGCATAGTGAACATATATATATATATAGATGCATGATTTTGACACACACACACACACATATATATAGATAGACATATATATATATATATATCTGTGTTATATATTTTTGGAATCAATATCTTCTCTCTCTCTCTCTCTCTCTCTCTCTCTCTTTATTT